TCCCTTCTTCCCTGCAAGCACACAGACTCCTGCCCTCTACCATGGGCCTAGCATGCAGAGCTGGGATTTCCTCTGTTAGGTGACAAGCCACTCAGGGCAGGGGCCGTTCCTCTCCCAGGCTCAAGAGCCCCATCACCAAGCACAGCCTCTGGGCACTACCACGACATATGCCATCCTATAGCAGTAACAACGTAACATCAGCATTAAGTAGGTGATCCCAACCACTCAGTCACTACTGTGCACCCATCGTGGTTGGCATCCAGCAGTCTCTTCTCAGAAGGGTTGTCTGAAGTGAAATAGGACTCAAAATAAATACATTATTTAGCAAAACTTCAGTTCACCGAGTCTGTGGTCATTAGGTCAAGTCTGCTTGAGGGGAAGACTTTTCGTAAGAGGTAAATTGCAGGGCTGAGCCCAGGGAGTCCAGCGTGCGCAGAAAGTTGATGCGAGGCAGCCTTCCTCATCCTGGTACAGGGCTGGCTGTCTCCTCTTCTACAGCATTGCTTCAGGAATACAGTGTCATCATCATCCACTGTAAAGTAATGGGGAAAGCAGGTTGAACTCATCCAGCCCTGAGAGCACTCTGCGATAGTCACAGCCAAACTGGACTATGGGGCATTGGAGATTTTTCTGTCTCCAGAAGGAGCAGAAGCCATAATAAAGCATGAGACTTAGAAGCCTGAAGCTCGTTGTTGTTTCTGACCCACTCTGTAAGTGATCAGGTAAAGATACCTTTTTTACTGCCACAGAACAAAACATGCAGTGCCACCTGCAATGAAGGAGCCTGCATTTGTCAGTCAGGGAACAGGCTTTACCTCAGATTCCCGGAGATATATCCCTTTGCCATCTTGTGTTAAGTTGCGAAAGGCCTCTGCGAAAGAAAGAAAGAAAGAAAGAAAGAGTATTAACTCTTTCTCTTGATAGCCAAGAGATCAACACCACAACAAACACTCTGTCTCAGGAAAAACCTCAAAGGCAGAGTTTGTAGGCTATTCACAAGTGCATGTGAGCTTCTCTTTCTGTTGCTGGAAGATCCCTGAGGGCTGGGACACAGGGAGCAGCTGAATAAGGTCAGGCATGTTACTGTCTGTCCCTCCAGCTGTGAAACCTTGAAATGCAGGCAGTCCCAACTTCACCCACTACAGTTTTGAGACATGTGCGAAGTGTCTACAGCACGAGCTCACAGACCAAGTATCAGCTGTCTCATCATCACAACTGCAGTCCAACCAAAGGTACATTCCAAGGCTCTCTTCTTCCTGGAAAATGAGCAGTTTCCATCTATAATTTGCCTACCTCCTCCTAAAGAAGGCTGCTGCAAACCTTCAGGGAGCTAAATCACTCTGTACAACCTGGATGTCTGTAGAAAGTGACCGGTGGAAAGGTAAAGAGCTTGATTTCCTCTATATATGTTGCTTGCTTTAAATTGATTACTCTCAGCCTATTCAGAAACCCAGTCCTTCTAATTTTGGCCTTGCCACTGCCAGCTGGAGCAGCGTCAGAAGGGCCAGGGCTTAGCTGGGCAGCCCAGCTTGCCTGTCCAGCCATGTAGTGCCAGCCTCACCTCCCATGATCTCCACTCGAAGCATGAAGCACATGAAGCTCTCAAAGCTGATCTTCAAGTCAGGGTCACCATATCTGATTGCCATCAAATTACAGACTTCATTGCTGAGTGAAATACCTTCATAAAAGGAAAAGAAAAGCAAAAAAAAAAAAAGGGGGGGGGGGGAAAAAAAAAAAAAAAAAAAAAAAAAGGCTTAAAGCATTCCCTTGAATGTCTATTTTGGAGCCCATTTTCGTATTAAATGTTTGAGGTTATACAGGGCCTTGCTTCAGCTCCCACCGATAGCAGTGGGGAAAAAAAAAAAAAAAAAAAAAAAAAAAAAAAAAGGGGGGGGGGGAAACAATGAGATGGCAACACCCAGCTGTAGGCAGCTGAATGTTCAAAGCTATGGGTGTGCACACAGCTCTGAGCATGCACAACTGAGTGATCTTCAGCCCTTCTCCAACAGCTTGGTTTTTCAAACCTCCCTTAAGATTATCAAATATCAGCCAGCCCAAACCAGATCACCACGTGCAGATACCCCCTCCAAACGTGAAAGGGTTCAGATCTGATCCCCTATACTCACAGCCCTGCCAGAGTTAGAATAAAATACACATGTGCATCCTTTGCTCATGAGTGAATGAGGGTAATAACAGCAGCTGTGTTTAAGAGCAATACTCCACAAGAGGATAGGAAAGGAGATGAAAAATAAAGTCCAGAGGAAGCTCATACAGAAAGCATCAGTCCCAATGTCAAGCAGCATTTGCAAGGAATAAAAGTATTTTCTATTCATGGCCTGGGATTTTAGTTTGCTTTAGCAGAGGTCCACATGGGCTTCTCACTGTGCTTTCACTGACTCAGATGAACCGGGTGAACCACACACCAAAAAAGAGGACTGATATTTAAGCTGTAAACGTGCAAAAGAGGCTACAGGACTGAGCACCAGCCCCCACACAAAGCTGAGTAACAGCAACAGAGTATTTGGACCCATGTGTATGGTCTTCCATTTCTAGATCAAGCTTCATACATTATATTAGTGGAAGTCTGGCACCAGTGCCTCTGTGCAAGTCCCACACTTCCACGTTCAGTCCCTGAGCTGTCATCTTCAGCAAAGGTAGAAATTTAATATGAGCTAGATCTGACCTCCCACATGTATCTGCAAAACCCCACACAGTCTTTTAAAATTAAATTAGCAACGAACAGGAAGGGATTTAAAAACTGGGTCTAAAATAGACAGACACTTCTGTTTCAGAGAACTGTCAGTATGAGACCACAGTGGGGCAAAGATTAAGTAGCCCATTCCACAGCAAAATAATTTCCAGATATGTTTACCCAACTGAAGAGGGAAGCAGAGATGGCTAAGACCACGCAGCCTATGATGTTTTCCACTCCTCCTGGGTTCTACCTTCAATTCTGAAGATGTTTCCCAGGCCTGGGCTTTTTCCAGCCTTTATGAGGAAGAGGATGAGACTTGCCAAGATGTGATGTGGGCTCACCTGTCTCCTGTACAGCTGCATGTAGTTCCACAAGGTCAAGCTTTCCTGATCTGCTACTGTCTCTCTTCTGGAAAACTTCCTGGTGGGGGGGAAATATATATTTTTAAACAAAAAAAAAAAAACAACAAACCACAAACAATTAAAAACCCCAACAGATGACACCAAAGGGATTGTGAGCAGGGAGATATTGCAAAGGGACACAGAAATTATGTTCATACCAAATAGAAAAGCAGCCTTTTCCACAGGACTCTGAATTCCTGGATACTCAGTGTGCCAGAGGCATTCAGCTTCGTGGGAGAATTAAGGTCAGAACATCACAATTAAACATTGGAGAACACCCATTACATAAAAAAAAACCAAACAAACCAAAACCTCATAGCCACTCTAACAGTCACACAATTACAATATGAGGATAATGATTTCTTAGACCACAAGCTATCTATAGGCTTGATCCTCCTCCCACTAAAGTCAATGGAAACCTAGCTGCTGGTTTCAGAGGCGGCAGGAATCAACCCTTTCCCAAAGCAATTCCATTCTGTCACAACTGAACTGTTATTATGGAGGGTGAGAAGTTCAATAAGCAGGGCCATGTCCTGGTGGTAAAGAAATCACAGTAACACCCAGTCTGCCCTAAGAAATAATGCTCCAGTGAAGTATTATATGAGTCAGAAGCATCACTCATGCCAAGGATACATCCAGGAGTGCCAAGATACCCTGGCAGGCATCCAGACTGAAACTTAGGTGAAAACTCTGGAAATCTGGAGACAAAGAAGAAAAAAAAAAAAAAAATAAAGATTGTTTTGAGGAGTCATTGAACATCTCTCAGAATAACGGACGCTCCCAAAATTCCCCCTCACTTGAGAGGGCTCAGGCCCCAAAGCCTTTGTGAAACTTTACACCTACTTGAGAAGACATATCATTTATGATGATAAAAATATGAGGCAACAGGATGGATTCTACTAGTCTCGGAAAATCCAATATGAGCTCCCTGCAGGCATGTAATACGGAATGAAATATGGTGCACTATCTCCAGCTATTAGAGAAAATGGAAGGAAAAGGACATCCAAAGCTGTAATCCCAAACAGAATTTACTGCATGACCTTGAGCAAAGTCACTTGACCTGAAGAGCTTTGGGGAAGAGCACTGCAGATTAATTGAAACCCTTGTGCTAAGCATCTCTCTCTCTCTGTTTCACAGACACACTGCCAGCTCTGTTAATATAATTAAAAGTACAGGCATCACTGAAAACATGATGCTGCATCAAAGCTTAGCATTCCTGGTTCATACGTAAATTACATGAAGAGTAACAGAAATAGACTCTAATCTCACTGCAAATCATGATTATAGATTGTCTGTAGACTTCCACTGAGCAAGGGACAGAACCATAACTCACCAATCCCTTCTCTGCAGAAAGTGAAGAGGTTTTAATCTTGTAATAGCCCTGTTTAGTAAATATGAATCAAGTACTGTAAAGTTTTTAAATTAATGTCTTAAAATTGATCACTTATGAAAAATAAAAGACTCTCCATTCAACATAGTCTTCTCACAGATAAGACAGTGCCTGGTGGGTCACTTTGCAAAGACAGAAGAGCTATCCTTCTCCACCTTTGTAGAAAAGGGAGCAATGTCAAATTCAGCTTAAGTGGAAAAGGAATCACATCAGCCTTTTGTTCATCTTCTTTGGTGCCTATAATGGCTGGACAGTGTATTTTCCATGTTGCACATCAGTTGTTACCAGTGAAGAAACTGAGAAGGAAAACTGGATTCATGATTACATCTGTAACTTCATTGTTGTTGTTCAGAGAAAACAGCCACTGCAATACCTCACTGCTGTCCAGGTAGTGTTACTTATAACTAGGGACCAAATTATGAGCTTGTGGAGTGCTCTGGGCTGCCACTGGCAGAGTGGATGTCACAGTCCTCATGAGAGAGACAACCTTAGGGCTCACCTAGTTCTCACAAGCGTAAGTTACACAGGCTACCTACATCTCCATCCGGTCTCCCAAACACAAACAGCCCTATGCATGCATAGCAGGGAAGAGTAAATAGGAATAGCAGGCACAAACCAGGCACATCAAGGTAACGACAAGAACCCCTTCCACCGTGTAACTGCCTACAGACCAGGCTAACTTTCTACACCTTCTAGCAGTGGTGCTGCCGAGACTGGCAGTGGCACAGGGTGAAATGAGATACAGTTTCAGAACCAAGGCTGAGGTCCAGCTGGGTTTGGAAGTCAAATTCAGAGTCTGCATCCACACACAATATCTATGCTTGCTCTTCTCCCTCATTCTTTCAGTTGTTGAAATTCAAACTAGATTAGCTTCACTTAAAAAATTTCTACCATGTTGATTCACACCGCAGCAAATCCTTTCTCTCTGGAAACATAACATGGCATCAGAAGAGTCTGTTTAGTCAGATTCAAGCCAGTTTCTCTTCCCAGAATTCAAGAAACAGTACAGGAGCTGAGGCTTTTCTCTAAGAGGGTTTATTTTACAGAAACATTATTTCTCAGCACTTACTTCTCCAAGATATATTATTCAGGATCCTCTGAAGTTGAACAGCATTTATTTCAGGATTCTGTGACATGGAAGAGAATTTTTTTTTTTTTAAGTATTAAATCACTTTTCTCCCTCTTTTGTTTTCCTATCATGTCCCATCTTCATTCTTTGCTTTTCTGGCCCCACTCCAGCCACTGTGAAAATCAATAGAAAAGACTCCCTTTGAATATGACAAGATTCTCAGCCTGCAAGAGCTGCAGTCTGCTCTGGGCTAAGTTCTCAGGGCTCCATGCAGATCAATGCGGTAGTGCACATTTACACTGAGCGAGGATCCAGACTGTTAACCTTTCAGCCCTGGTGCCATCTGTCCTATCAAGCACACTGTCAAGAGACCTGCTTCAAATATTTCCCTCTTATCATTTACAAAGATGGACATTTTGGAATACTTCGTCCCCAAACTTTTCAAAGCAGAGACTTCCCCTCCTCCTTGTTGTACTAAAGTTTACAGGTTTTTTAGAAACTGTGACATTTATTTGTTTGGAGGATTGTTTTAAATGTCACTCTTCAAAACTAAAAGCCTGTTTTCAGATCATTGAGGCATGCCAGGGTAATGCATTGAGAAATGGCAGTACTGCTCGCCTCTGTGCATACTCGGACCTCCTGAAGGCAAAGGACCGTCGCAATATGTGGCAATTTCTAGAATATCTGAAAGCCACACCATTCTCAAAATCAAAATCTTAAACAAGTAGCAAAAAGTAAAAGCCTTGCTTGTTTTTAGTAACAGCTTCCGTCAAAATATTGCTCTCAAAAGCACAAATGTGTTTTTGTGAAATTGTGTTTGCCAAATACAGGGTATGCTACTAAATAAACACAGCCACCTTTTCTGAAAGGTGAAACACTTGGATCCCTCACCATAGTTAGTGGGATCCCTGAAGGTCAACTCCATCCCAAATGAAGCCAGAGAGATCATTGAAAAGAATCTTTCACAATAAGGATCACATTTCACTAGGAAAATTAGTGAAAAAAATGAGCTGATGAGACACCTGGCACTTACTTCACCTCTCAAAGCAAGTTACCTGCCATCAAACTGTGATAAAGGATGTATGAGACAAGTGTCAATATTTCAGGGGGTGTTCTCTAAAAGGCAACTTTCCCCAATGAGTGTAAGAACACCCTAAAGGGTAGGATGGATCCACACAGCCCACCACTTTGTCCCCAATAGAGGCAATAGGAATTAACGTGTAGGGAGAGCACATGAGCTTGGTCAGCTTCTGCAGTCCATTCTCCTGTTTCCCTGGCACCCACACCTGTTGGAAAAGGGATCTTACACTGTCACATCCACAATGTCCTGTGGCATTAACTTCCAGGCATTCACACCCTGTTGCACAGAGAAGTATGCCTGTCTCAATGCTAACATATTCCTAAGCTTTGCGGTTAAATCTGCTGCATGGAATCAGCACTGTACACACAGCTGAACCTCCCGTGGCCCCTCTCTGTTCCCCACGCTTCCATGTCCCTTGAACATCCACATGCCTTTACTTTCATATAGCTACATAATAGCTCTGGAGGAGTTTACCCTGGCAGCTCATGCACACGCTTACCTGTTCAAAATGCTTTGTGAAGAAGTCCTCCCAAATCTTGCCTTCATACCTATCAACAATTTCCTTTAAGTTATTAAAAAAAAAAATCATTAACTCAAGGAACAAAAACATTGCCATCCAAGACAGAGTTAATAAAGATGCTTTCCCAGAACTGCACTCCCCACCACTGCAATCAATGCTACATCACTAATGCAGCCCACTGCCAAAATAGCTTCCCACGTCATAGAAATGCTATTTCTTGGAAAGAAATATTCAGATAACATTCAGTGGGCAGAAACATTTCCCTCCCACCAAGCTGGGCAGCAACAAAGGATGGGGCTCACTCCAGGCCAAGAAGAGAGAGAATGGTCTCTGTCCTCCTTTATACAGGAGCATAGAGAAGATGAAAGAAGGAACGGCCCTGTTTACGCCAGGGGAACAGACTATGCTATAAACTCTCTTGCACAAGTTGCAGACGTGCATGCACTGCCATTGAGCTCAGTTATTTTGAAAATAACCTATAGGCAGCTGCATGGGAACAGTACTGCTCAGGTCCCGTGATGTCTTCAAAACTTTCAAGGCATGAAAGGAACAGGGAGAAGTACAAGAACAGATGAGGAGTCTCCAAAAAGCCATGAACAGGAAAGACTGCAGAGCGCATAAGATGGTGTCACTAAAAGAAGTTTGCAAAAAGGCACTAACAAAGGCATCTTTTTTCTGTTCCCCACATTTGACTGCATCTGTCCACATGGTCTGAGGGACTCTGCCTGTAAACCCAAGCTGCCCTTTCAAAAGCGCTGCACCACAAACACTCACATTCTCACTCAGCCTCTCCATAGCACAGAGCAACAGGAAAAACCCAACACCCAGCACTTCAGACCGAACCACAGGCCTCCCACCCGCCTCATACTCACTCACCTTAGAGAGGGTGAAACTGGTGTTCCCGCCAATTTCCCTGGAGATGCAAAAAAGCAGACACAGAGATATCCCAGAGTTGTGTGTTTGTCTCATCACAGGTGGCATCCCCCATCCCCAGAAGGGGCCCCAACTCGCTGTTGCGGCATATGTTTTTTTTCCCCAGTGTTACAGCTGCAGTAAGGGAGGCCCTCATGTCCATATGGCTCCCCAGGGGCTGCTGGCATTTGAAGTCTACGAAGCACCATTTCTGCACAAGCAACCACCCTAGCACCGCCAGCAGGGTCTCCTGGCAAACTGATGGTGCATTAAAAAGTGTTGTCCTTCTCCAGTCTCAAATATGAGCATACTGCAAGAATCCCTTGTGTGGGCCCAGGTCAACACTTCTTGAAAGGATAAGGCCAAAAGCAGTGCTTCATCCACTGAGCATCCTATGCTGGGAGAGACAGACCCACACCCAGCCTCTCCAAAAGAGACCATGCTGCCTTTTGCATGGTAAAGTCTCTATGCTGCCCTCATTAGACTAGAAAGACCAGCCCATCCCACCATCCCAGAGAATTAGGTGCTGGCAGAGAGGCAGCAGCATCTCACCAAAGAACATGCTTCCTGGAGAAGACCCGCAGGATGAATTCAGACTCCTGCTGAGGCTCCAGGGTGGATGGCACAATCACATAAACACCAGGTGCCAGGTGGAAATCATGAGTCACTTCTCGCTCATCAAGGAAGACCTGGTGCTTGTTCACAGGCTGATGTCGGGTGAAGAAAGCTGGGGGCAGCTTTCTGTTGCTTTCCTGGTACTGTTAAGGAAAGAAACAGAAGGGAAATGTGTTCTGCACCAGCTGAACAAACAGACAAAAGGCACATGGAGAATTTACAGGCATGGCAGAGACAGCCTGCCTTCACACCTCAGATTTTTTTTTTTTTTTTACAGTACAAGCAGATAACAGGGCCCAAAGTATTCAGTCTTCTCCCAGGACATGGTGGTTCTCACCATGCACCATGCCTGCCCAATACTAAAATGACAAAGAACAGGGCTTCCTGCAACATTATCAACAATATAATAGTACTTGCAAGGAACAGCAGCAAGGACTGGGAGAAGTGGCTTCTATCAACCTAAGCTTCTGCAAAAGTCATTTCTATACTGGCAGAAATGACTGCAAGCAGGAACTACTCTAGAGACTGCTCTTCACTAGCCAGAACACCCCTCCTATCCCATAGGTACTATGCACTTTGTTCCCAGCTTGTCCTTTGCACTAGGGATCTGGCAGCAGAGGATTTTTCAGAGCACGTGTGATCTAAGCATACTGCAGGAGCAACCTAATCCCTAGCCCTGACTCCACGCATGTGTCCTTGATCTGCCTGGCACTCTCGGCTCTTACAGATGTTTCACTCTGCAGGCACTCTTCTGCAATAGGAGGATGGATAAAGTGTTGATCCAGGCAACACTGAACTCGTTTTTAATGCCACTGAGTGCCCAGTACACAAGCCAAATAAATAATCCTGCTAGCTAAGACCACTGTCACCTTCTGATCTTGGCTGTTCCTCAAAACATTTAGCCATTTTATTCCGCAGCCTCATAGTGGAGATACTACTCCTCTTCCTTTGCCAGTATTTTTCTTACTAATAGAGCAATCTTTCTTCTGAAGGGTTCGGGGTTACTCCTCCTCATGCCCCTTGTGTTAAATTTAAAGTTTTTATATTCCAGTCAATACTTTGTTGACTGTAGTTCCAACACCTTAAATGCTCTCAGCTTGCCATCTCTCTGTATTGATCTTGGCAACCGCTACAAACCTGAAATTAAAGACCTGGCTGCCACCCTTCTCCCTCAGGTGCAGCACAGCAGTGTGCTAGAGCTACACTCAGACCCCCTCTGCCAGGAAGTTTAACTCACTTGTAACCCTGATAGTGCCCAAAATATTTAAGTCAGGAAGGAGTGGCATCTTAGCTCATGGCTACCATGCTGGAAATACAGTAACTGGGAACACAATTGTGCTACCCTGACCATACATCCAAACTAGTTCTTTGCCAGCCCAAATTCAAAGGGCTCTCATTTAAGAGGTGTTCTGAGTAGTAACAGCGTGGAAGACATGCCCTTTCAAGATAAAAGGAGCTAAACCTTTCCCTGTTTTAAATAGCCCTCTAAGGTCAGGGCCAAAATTGGGACATACATCAGGGTTTAACTTCCAGGGCCCTTCCTCAGGTTCTAAAGGCTTCTGGCTAAAGAAAATGCTAGAAATACAGCTGGCCTGAGGAAGCCAAAAACAGCTGTAGCATCAGCTCCAGAGCATCCCCAGCCAGGAAGGAACCTGAGCTCCCCGAGAGACCCCTGACTTGCATAGGACACAGGCTCTGTTCCTACCTTATCCCAAGACTAGGAGGCAGCAGAAAGGTGGCTCTGGCTCCCCTGAGAGCTGCAGTGAGTCCAGCTCAGACACAGTCAAGAATTGGGGCACCATCCCACAATTGGAGGAGGGACAAAGTGCTGATCAGCTAAACACTGATGCCACTTCTAATACCTTTGAAGATCCAGTGCAGAAGCTGAACAACTAACGCCCCTTTTTAAGGTCACTGAGCCCTCCTAATATGGCTGCTCTTCAGAAGAGTCAGTAGATAGCTCTGCATTAATAGTGACTTACTGTGGTGCCTCACTGAACTCAAATACACAGTTACTAGCTGTCAGCCAAGGAACAAAGGCAAACACACCACCTTCGGTGTTGTCATAGCAGTTGCACCAGCCCAGGTCCCCGAGCAAACAGCCAGCAGTGGGTAACAAGGGACTCACCTGTAGGTCCACCTGCAGGAAGAAAAGAAACAGAGCATCTGTCAGACAGGGACCTCTGGGTCTCACACAACATAGTCATATCATTGCTGGGAAGCAGTTACATACATTCAGGTGGGGTCTTTGCCTTCAGAAACCTCAGCCCCTCCACCTGAAAACCCTTCCCCCCAGCCATCTCTCCATAACTGTGCAAACTCACAGCAGCAAGAGCTGTGGCTCTGTTCAAGTGAGGAGAGCGGCTCTGCAAGGCACTCAGATAAGCAGAGAATTGAGGTGGGGAAACTCTCACTCCTTCTAGTGATATCCACTTACCCCTGGATACATAGAGAACTAGCGGTATTCACACATGGGCAACTGCCACATCATACTATGAACACTTCTCAAGCACAATTTTACCGTGGTTGGAAATAACCAGAGGGTAGTACTCTCCGTGCTCCAAAGTAAGGGGACTCCTGGCATCCTCTGCCAGCTCTTGCACATACTCTCAGAGAGGGCAAAATAAAGCCAGTGTGCTCTGAAGCAAGAGGCATTTCTCACTGCTCTAGCAGGCTGACACACAGCATGCCAGAGAGGCAGCAAGTGGCGCACAGAGCCTGAGGGAGCCTAGCCCTGATGCGTGAGGAGACTGGGCACAGCAAGGAGAAAAAGAGCAGAGATCACCCTGCGCACAACAAAACTCTCTGCAAAGCTCTATAATTTACAGGGGCTGGAAGTTTCCCATTTGGTGAAAGCAAGAAAGGCAAAGCAAGTCTTCGTACCTTGTAAAGTAAAAATCCAATGAAGAGGTGAGGAGCTCGGTTCCGGTGTTTGCTGCTATGTTTCTGCATCAGGGATATAACCACATTGCAGGAACGCAGGCGTTTCTTACTGTCTTCAACTGGTAAAACATTCAGCCAGTACTGAGGGTTCATCCAAAAGCTGCCTAAGCAAAACAAGAAAAAACATTTTTATGTCGTTTTCCATCACAAAATTGCTTGCCAGCTTCCCACACGATGCCTGGCATCGGACTGAATAGGTCACAGGTCATCTGGACCTCCGGACCCCACAGGGATTTGATCTTAGGGCACAGTTTACAAGTTTAGCAGTGCAACCACTGGGTAAGACAGGAGGAAGGCCCAGGAACAAGGAATCACATTTCCACTCACCTGCAACTAAGTGCTCATTTTGTTTATAGATGTATCACTATTCCGCTATCACCTCCAGTGTATGGGCTAGCTGATTTCAGACCCCACCTGCTCTGCTTCCAGAAGAGCTGAGCCTCTGTAGTTCCCATTCACTTTACTTAAAACACCACTCCCTGGCGGTGCTGACGGTGCAAATTTGAACAGACAAGTTTAATGCCCCGAAGAAGCTCAGTGTTGGCAAATGATCCTAGGATCCTGCAGCTCATTTCATGTCCCAACCAGCCCACTGCCCTATGTTTGCAAGTGATGGAGCTTCTGTGATAGCAGAAGCTAGTCAAAGTCCTTCAGCTGCTTATTTCGGATGTTTGTGTGGAGGGTTAAGCAGGAAGAGCTGTTGTCAATTTTGTGTTAACAGATATAAGGTGCTGGTAACACAGCAGAGCAATGTCACCCCAGAGTCACCCAAAAGAGCACCCCTCACCATTACAGAATCCCAGACTTCCTCCCGCTGTACTTCCTTTAACCCATCTCCCACTCTTCAGGGAGTACATCCACTTCTTCCCATCTTCCTGGCTCATCAGGTCTGGAGTTAATTTACAGATCGTCAGATCTACAAAATGAATCTTAAAATCTCGCAGAGACATCCTGGGAAAAGAGTGCCAAGAGACATCTTGTCAGCAGTTTAGTTTAGTCCATATGGCTTATAAAAAGAAAAGGAGAAGGAGCAGGAAACTTCAAAGCCACACCATTCTGCGTTACATATGGTAATGCTCATATTTTATTAGGTAGTAAAGAAGAGAGCTTCTGCTCCAACAGCAGCATCTAGCAGTAGCAAATGCATGACTAAAATTTCAGCAAAGGATAGCAGCACGGAGATTAAAATAATATTGCCACCAAAGGGACCGCAGTGAAATGACACGGGCGACAACATTGCCACCTCGTGGCAGAAGCTGTTGAGAAACGACGAACAAACGTAAGGCAAGCAAGAGCTTCCCAAAGCTATCTTAAAAATAAAAGGCAGGACAAAAGCTCCTGAAAACCGCCCATGTCTCCAGCAGCCCTGGGAGACTGGTGACGTCCTGCTTCTCCCTCACTCCTGCTGCTGAAGAACAGCGCATCTCTTCTGTGTCAGCACAGCTACTGCTTTTCACATCGTCAAGCAGAGGAGAGCAAGAAAGCAAGCATGGGCTGTCATAAAGCAGATCACATATGCCTCGACCTAAGTAGCAACGTGCTGCTTCATCTCCAGACGCAGCCCCAGAGCTACTGACAGAGCGGGGAGAGGCGACACTGTGCTGTTACCAGAATTCTCCATCCTCTTTCTTTGTCCTCAGCAAAATCTTCTCCTTCGGGCTCAGCAGCTCCCATTTGTAAGAGCTGAGGGCAAAAACATGAGGTTACTAACCAAATGTGGCCTCAAATTCAAGGCAGAGTACATAGCTTTCCTCTATAAAAAGAGGCCAAATCCCTGTCCCCACATATCCCTACATTTATCCCCCACTAAACACAGGCCCCCTGTGCCTTCAGCCACCGAAGACTCTCCACAAGCACTCTGGGTCCCGTGCGATGTAGCTAAATGGCCCCAGTTTTCTCCAGCAGAAATCAGAAATGCTCCATTTCCATCAGCCAGTCCACTCACTTGCACATGCAGCTTCCAAGTACTTAAAATAAAAAATCTAGACCTGTTTTGTTGGTTAATTTTCTGTCAAAGGAGACATAATAGGAAGAGCATTTAGCATAATGAATGAATGACTAGGACAGCACAAGAGGCAGCTGGGAGTCGTTTAAAAGGCAGGCCTACAGTATGTTGCTCATTATGCTCTTCAACAGGAACAGCTGGTATGTTGTCATTACGTGACAGACACGCATCAGAGAAGTTACTGCTCCACAGACAAGGTGAAAGTCACTCACATTCCCAGCACCTCTCTGTGCTTTTCCCTCCTCCCTATCCCCGAGCCTCGACAAACAGGATCTGTGCAGGGAATGACGTGAAGCTTGGAAGGAAGGAACGTGCTCCGCTTCACAGAGGAATAGGACACAAGTCTACAGTTGCCTGTGGCCTAGAATGCAAACCACTGTCTTTCATGGGTCCCAATCAAAAAAAAAAAATCAGGCAGATGCAAATATAGGGCCCATTTGCCTCACTCGTTGCTTCCTCTGATCTCATACCCAATTGTATTTCTCCAAACAGCCAGGATGGAGGACTCCTTCGCAGCAACCCAACTCCAACAGTTTTCAGCCCATGGAGGACTTTGCATGGTCCCTCCTGTGATAAATGGTCCCTGTGATAAAAAACTTTGCATGGTCCCTCCATGTGCCCTGAAACATGCTGTTTGTCTAGAGCCTCCTGCACAGCTATCCGTCACTTTGCATGCCATCCAGATCACAGCAATGTGGTCAGCGTCTGATGTTCATATTATGTTTCCTCTGGCATTCAGTGAATGGAAAAACAGAACCGAGCTTCTGGAAGCTGCATGTGTGAAGTGTGCCCAACTACGTGAGCACTATCTGCTGGAGAAATACAAATCTATCGAGTCATTGCTTTGACACCAGAAGGTCTGTGCAAGCAACTGTTACTTATCTTAATGCTGTTCTCGGCACTCATTCATGCCTGAAGATGGCAGCATCTTTCCTCCAAGAAACCTTTCCTCCTACTCAGCATCAGACCTTCCCTTTTTTCAAACTCACCTGTCACTCCAGTCTCCTTTCCATTCAATTTTTCCCCATGGATTTCTCAGTCTCACTAGGTTTTCTGGTCCATGTTGACAGGTCACCTGCAGAAAACAATAACACTATGCTTACCAAGGTCTCAGCAGTTCTTATCTGGTTTATATCACTGCACTATGTCAGATATTAACAAATATTTTGTTTGTTCTCATAGATGCCAGCAAGTATGATGATAAAAATCTATGAACATGCAACTCTCAATGCCAGCACAAAGAGATTAAGATGCTTTACCTGACCTTCTATAACTGAAACCAGAGACCTCACAGATTCCTAATTTGGAGGCTTGACCATAAATTCCTCGTCCTTTCCAACATCTACTCATTTTGTGCTTATGTGGGGGCAAGACTGTACTACTGTGAAAGCTAAGTCCTACCCCACTGCAATGGCACAACACAATGCAGCCCATAGGGTGACCACATAGATTAGTGCCTCCTGAACTGGGATTCCACGGTGGGAGAAGAGGGAGCCAGACCGACCGGCTTTGTTGGCAGCATACAGCAGAATGGCTGACTTCACATCAGCTTCAGTCCCTTACTCCTGCCTGGTTCTTCATCCCATCAGAGGAGCCAGACTGGCAAGCATGTCACTGATAAAGTCCATACCTAAAACCCTCCTGCTGCGTGTGGGAGACACAGGTGTGCATCATCCAGCTCATAGTATCTCTTCCAGCTTTCCTAGTATCTCTTGCTAGAGGCACTGAACATGCTTTCACCCACATCTATATCACACGTCCAAAGCCCCACAGTCCTTTGCCATCCTTGTCAACCTCCTTTTGAAGCTGGACGAGATAGTCATCCATCAGTCCAGGAGGAGAAAGTTCGAGCTTTCTCCCACTCTTTGGGACCTAATACTACTGTCCCTTACCTCTGCACAAATATCTTTAGGGGAGTCCCTATGATACTTCTGCAGATCAGTGGGGTCCACCTATACTCTCTGCACAGGAGCTCAGTTTGGTTCTCTTACTTTAGCCTTGACTCACATTTCCATCCACAGTTTTTCACATTTTGACCCTTGTATTCCATTATCTTTACTTCTCTATGGCCTCTCCTCTGACTTCAGAGGAAGGCTTTTTACCCCAGGTAGGTTTCAGCACATCCTCCCAGCATCCCCAAAGGCCAGTCCTTTTGTCCTTAACAGCTAAGATGCATTTGTAGGTGATGCTCTCAGCAGAGCCCTATGAATCATTCTCACCCTTGGAGATATGCTGATCTACAACCATTGTCCTTTACATCAAGGTCACAATACTAAAATGGACACACTTGAAAGTGAATCTTTACAAAGCACACAGTCTCTTTTAGCCTTAGACTAAGAGAAGAGTGCTGGGGGAGGAGATACCATAGTTGCCCTGATTACTGGTTGAACCTATGACTGCAATAAAAATTGCTGACATCCAAACAAACCTGGGCCCATGACGTTAGGACTAGTCTTACCTTTCTAATACCAGTTACTGTGTAGGCATGGCCAGCAACAAGCCCATTCTTCAGGACCTTTGTTGCCTGTACACAAGGAAGAGAAACAGAAGGAAAACAATCCTGTTATTATATCCCTACTTACACAGCAGACTCATACCAGTACCAGAAACCTGTACCTGTGTAAGCAATGACTCTCAAAGCAAATGGAGAATGGTTGGAACCGAAAAAAAAAAAAAAAAAATAAGCCTAAGCTCCTAACAGACATATTTTGCAGTATGCTTGGAATTGGAAGGTTGATTGGGAAGGTCCCTTCCTAAATTGTGGATATTTGGCTAGAGACCATCTCACTTCTAAAAAGTTCCGGAAGTTAGGTTTTGGTTTTCAGAATAGTAGGGTTTCACAACCGCTGAAGTGTTAGTATAAGGCTTGGAAGCCATGATTTGAATTCATGTTCTGAACTACACACCTCTCTTATCTTAGCTGTAAGCTTATTCCATGAGTCTCTGTGCCTCACTGCACCATCTGTAAAAACGGAAAATTTATTTAACAAAAATGTGAAAATGCAGTAGATCCTTATTAAATAGAGGCTCTTTGATAGATAAACCAGTTCCTAAACATAGCAGCAGGGAGCTGAGAGCATCAGGGAACCAATCCACATGCAAAGTTTAACATTAAGAATGTGATTCCTACAGAAAATCACATGTGGCAGCTTTGATACTTTTTGAGTCACAATGACTAGCTGAGCAGAGGGAAACAGGTCTGGAAAAGCTTTTAGCTGTGAAGCCATTTGATGTCACTCCAAGTCTCACCCCTAAAGACGTCTGACAGCCCATGAGAGATCTGCTGTAGGTTGCTCTTGTCAGGATATCCCACAGATCAGGAGGAGCTGTTGCAAGCTTGATCCTTATATTAACACCACCTGTAAAATCCACCAAGGCTTCTGAAACTTGCCCAATCTGCAGATCTTCATAGGAGCCGTAGAGTCTAGCAAAAAAAGACATCAATATATTCTTGGGGTTATAGTCACAGATGATAGGTTGAGAACATCATGCCAATGAAAACATACAATAAAAGTTTGCAAAAGCAAAAGGAAGGTTGTAACTCATGTTTAATTTTAGGGGAATCTTTGGCATTTAGGAAGAGGGGAATCTAACAAATTGCCTCCAATATTGGCCATAGTCTGAAAGGGACTCTTCACTCACTGTCATCCCTCGCTGCACAGTAGTGAGAATATGCCCATCACTACTTCTTTGATAACTCTGCCTTAGTGAATTTATCACCTTATTGCCCGCATTTATCATCAGACACTGTGCTGTATCTAAGCTACAGTACCTTGAGAGGCACACTGTCTTGAGAGCTCAGTCTCCAATCTGATTTTCTTTACCATTGCAGCACAACTTTCTCCAGTCTTTTTGTTCTAACGCTAACACTAAATGAAAATAACTGAACTTTCTCTCCTTTGCTGTGATCTTTCTCTCAATGTTAACTAGGATTTTTCCATGCTCTGGAGAGATTGTTTCAGCCCAATATTAACAAACTCCATCAGTTACGCCTTGTTGCTTTCTTCTTAGTCCTAATAAACCACTCTAGACAAAACACCCTGGAGAGAAGCCAGTATTCTCACCATGCTATGTGACTTGTTGAATGCCTCAGCTTTGGGGGATCCCAGAGCAGGAACATCTACCAAAACCAAAGCACAATGCTTCAGCAGACCCCCAAAATGAAACTCCTTGGAGGTTTCTCAAACTCAAATACATCAAAGGAGGCATCAGAAATCATTCACCTTTGAAAATCCTTATCTGTGGCCTTCCACTCCTCTGCAGTATTTACAAGGAAGGCATCATCCTAGCCAATACACTCCAAACAGTGATAACACTCAGAGGACAACCCCACAGGATAGCTCTGTTTTCACGCCTACTCCTAAACCTTTGGATTTAAACTCAAGGGCCTGGATTGATAACAGCTACTGCTGCAGCAGCTGCAGTGTGTAATAATAGAAAGATGAGAACCATTTACTACACTCCAAATGTGGCGAGGCCTAGGAGATGCATTTATAAACAAGAACAAACTGCGTAGGCACCAACCAACATATTTTAGAGAGACTATTTGCATAACTTAGAATGAGTCACTTACTTAGCATATGCCTTCTCCAGAAGGGCTCCCCAGAACACATTCTTATAGACTGAGGAAACAAAGACCAGCTCCCCTGCCTCGTTCACCGGCAGGCGATCATCAACCACCACGTCAACCCATTCACCGAAGTGCCAGAACTGTCAGAGGAAAAGAATGAGCTGATGTTTCCCTTGAAAGAGACCTCCCCTTGAAACAACAGGAAAGGCAAGGTAGCTTAGCTGTGGGCACAGGATGAGCTGCCTTGGGGGGAGGGCTGCTTTGAATCAGGGGATGTGCTGACTCACCCACAAAGCCTACTCCTCAGCCTCACCCTACCAGAGAAGAAAACAAAGCCTGTGTCAGGTGTAAAAGGATTAAGCAGGGAAATTAGGCACAGCTGGGTTTCTGGGGGAAAATGAGTTCCTAATTGCAGGGTAGCAGAGCTGCACCAAGAGCTGGGCAAAGGGGCAGAAGATTGGAGCAGATGTGCTCAAGGCTGGCTGACTGTTGCTACTATGCAGGAAGACTTCTGTCTGGATTAAAATATGGGTAGGGTACAGCTGGAGAGAAGGGCCAAGCAGAGGTATATCCTCAGACTGCCTTGTAGTTGATCCACTGCCTGCACTGCTTTGTGGGAGGGGTGATGGGCTACCCTCCAGGCTGGGATACCCTCTGGCCACTTGCCCCTGGCCAAGGGGAACCACGCAGAAATTATCTAAGGGTGTGACACAAAATGTGAGAGAGGATTCCTGAAAACCTCCCTGCACTCTAGGGGAGCAGATGTACCCGGAAGTGGAAAATGCCGGCATATTTCCTCTCAAAGCTCTGGTTTTGTGGCACGACTGCAGCCAAGATGTCCTGGTGGAACGTCAGGGCTTCCAGGGCCGCCAGGAACCAGCAGTTCTCTGCGCCAAGACAAACGGACACATGCAGTTGGCTAAAAAGCAAGAGTTGTCAGCCAAGTTCAGGAACACCACCAAGATCATAGCAGAAGAGCTGCTGTGGTTGTGGTTGTGCTGATGTCCTTACAATTATAACAAATCATACACAGAAAATTAGATGATCCAGACATGTGCTTTATTTAACCAAACCATGATTAGTTTATAATTGTTCTCTCATGATCTTTTCATTTGGATACTGTTAGGTTAAATAAGAAATTTTGCAAGAAATAGCTCTCAATGGAAACATTCTGTTTTTTTACTGACATGGCGTGGGTTTTTTCTGTTCTCTGTAAAGGCACACTATTAAAAAAAAAAACACCTTTTCCCTTTTTCTTTGAAAACATTAACTTTTCAGAACAGAAAAAACATTTGCAATGGATCTCATGCAAGACTGTACTTATCAGACTTTGTGTTTAAGGGCTTAAAGCACTTAAAAATTAATTTGGTCCTGTCCCTACCTGTTTTGCAGATGACTATATATCCTTTTACTTTAGGTAACATGGGCATAAAAATTATTTTTCTAACTGCAAAGAAGCAAATGCACTCACACTAAGCCTTAGATATAAAGATAGTGAAAGTCTCAGATTTTCCTGCTTCTGTGGTCGCTGATCAATTGTCAAGCAGCAACATTACAGACCAATAAGAGCACAGGATCACTTCCTATTGCAATACTAGTATGCACAGATGCAACACAGGGAATGGTGATTTCAGCTTGTGGAGACACCTCTCACCCCTCAAATCCCACCTTGAAGCTTGCCAGGTTTTTTACTGAGCCTATGCCATTTTAATGATTGCTTCACCCATACCATGCCAAGTGAAGAGATAAGGACACGTGCACCTTCTATTTCTATGCCAAGTTTTATGCAGTCAAAATTCCACACAAAACGTTACCTTGTATAAGAATACTTAGATATTTATACAAAGGCGCTTCCTTACCCACCAATCCTTGGCAGAGATCGAGCTGCTTCCTGTTTGCAGCATAAAATACTGGTCTTCTGTGCAAAGCCTGGGAAGCACACAAACAAAAAGAAAAGAGGGAGAGAGTCAAGTCAGAAACATGAGCTGGTTTAGCTTGAACTCAAGGACTTCCTGAATGCAGAGCTGCAGTCTCGCAAGATGGGAAATCCAGTGAGTTCCTAGTCTAGGATGTAAAAACCTCATGGATATGTGACACAAAACACTCCCTCTGCCTGTTCAAAGCTTTCAAAATACTTAGGGTCCCTTTGTCCCAGCAGACGTTGTTTTGGTTCAGGTGTAACTCTAGTGTTATCATGCGCTCTGGCTAACCTGACACAAGCCTGGGCACACATCTGTGCTTGGTCTAGATTGAATTTGGTCTCCAACAACAGCCACTGGTGCTCAGATTGGTCTCCACAAACACCTTGCTGATAAGCCAACCCTTCAGACCCGCCAGCCCTGCTCCTCCGTAATTACTGACAAGCTTCAGCCAAAAGAGGCTACAATGGCAGAGCGTAACCGTTCAAACTTTCAGCTAACCTTGCTAACATCTCCACGATTTGACTGACAATCAAGCTACAGACTAACTGATGGCTGCTACGGAAGTTCCTGTTGCTGTGCCAAGAGTGGGTCTGTGAATAATTGTTCAGAGAGAAATTACATTGTTGGTTTTTTTTCCTCACACAAGTGCCTCTGGGGTCAAATTAATAACCTAAGTGTCAAGCTTACGTTTCACTCTAATGACCCACAAATTGCTCAAGCTAATTTTCACACTGTTGGCTTCCCCTTCAGGCAGTAGCAGAGAAACAGCAAACCCTCAGAAGGCAGTTACAGTAATTAGACACCAACCCCTATCCTTGATGAATTTGGGTGTTCAGTTTGCAGACCATCAGTCATAGATGCAGCAAGCTACAAGCCTGCAGGCTGAATGGCAGAATCTCACAGTTTCCTCTGCAGCACAGGGACTGAAGGATACACAGCATCCATCCTCAGAGAGCCTTTGCTGGGCTAAGTTTGGCATTCAGAGCAACTGGCAGCCTTCTTCACGAGGCACTTTTAGAGCAGCAGAACGGTTGGCTGAGAGACAGAGGAGGTTTCAAGTCCATTCCAATATCTCTGGGGTGGAGGGACACCTGAAGGGCTTTGAGGACAGGACTCATGTTGACCTTTCCCTCCCAAATACCTCTGTGCTGATATAGCTGCCTCAGCCGCCGTGCCCAGCACAACCCGGCTCAGGCCCCCGAGGACTGCACTCTTCCTCCCCCTGCAGATCCTGACTTAACACAAACCATCTGCGAGACCAAATTGTGTATGAAACTCTGAGAACCAGGGCTGCTACTCCCAAGCTCTCCTGCACAATTTGCAAAGGTACCTTTACTTTCCCAGTGATTTTCATGAGTTTTGCCGAAACGCACCCCTTCTAAGAAATTGGTTAAATCTGACAAAATATGACAGCTAGAAAATAACTCAGCTAGGAGATGTTATCTGCTATTACCTGGCAGAATTCCCTTACAGACACGGTAACGTAAGGAGTCAGTGCTACTGAAATTCTCAGATAATTCTATACATTGCTTTCAGGAAGACCTGATTGTCAGTGTGTTGCTCAGTGGCTTGGTAAGAACAGAACTGCCATTGCTAGGAACAGGCCGAAGCTAACAGGCCTTATCTAACTGTCCCAGTCCCCTGTCCTGGCCTCCAAGACTTGTTATCCATTTGTTGTGAGAACTTGCTCTGTGACCAGCGCTCAGTACCAGGTGCCTCTTGTTGTGATGTTCAATTTAAGCATGGAATATCAGCAAAGGCCTTGGAAATATGGCCACAAGTAGAAAACAGAGGTCCCAGAACTAAAAACATCTCACTGATTGATGGTCAATTACTGATCGTGGCAGAAGCACAGCCTTGAGAGCTGTGAGAAGACTGCTCTAAGTACAATAAAGAAGAGACTAAACAGTTAAGCAGGAAAAAAACAGCCCAGCAAGAGGATAAGGCACCTGCCACTGCCAGTGACAGTAGCAGCCTCCAGCATTGCAACGGTATGTGGTCCATGGGAGAGAGGTCAAAGGCTAAGAACTGTCTAGAAACTTGGGAATCTTCTAAAAGGTCAAGATCTTGAATTTTGGGGAGAGGGATCATCGCCATGAGACCTGTCATCATGGAATGATGGTGGGATCATCAGATCATCATCATGGTGAGCTCCAAGGACACCGTCTCCCCCCTCTCCCTTCGCCTGCTCTCCCTGCCTGCCCCGAGCGTTACTGGATATAAACTGAATGACTCTGGTTATGATTTTGGGCAACAAATGCTACAAAGGCAATTATGAAGCTCCACGTACCCCAGCTTCCAAAATGACAGCTGATACAATAAGCGTAATCTCTGGAGGCATTAAGGCACACCTAAATTAAAGTCTAAGAGTAGTCTGCTCAATGCTAACACTGTTTGCTGGCTATCAGCTGTAATCATGCTCTTACATGAGATTATTCACTGAAAGTCACTTACATGTGGCCTCTTCCACTGTAAATTTTGGGGTAGTTTCTTTAGCAGTGCTCCCGTCCCAATAGAGCTGATGTGAGCAGGGAAGTTGTCATCTGTGAACAGGCATTTGTTCTTCAAGCATGTCTCCAGCAAGGCCTGGTAGTTCTGTTGGATGGGTGGGGTGTGTTTTTGGAAGACGCTCCTGCCTAAAGGCACAGGTGACTTCTTTTTTTTCAAGAACGGCAGAAAAGGCATGGCAATGTCCACAGTAATGCCAGGATAATTTTTTCCACTGAGGATTCTGCAGGGATCTTGCCCTGCACAGTCCTGCTGGAAACTCCTTGTTTCTTGGGATGAGGTGCGTCTTCTCCAGAAGAATTCCTGATCATTAAAATAAGTGTAAAAAGTCAATTTAATCACGGCTTTCAAAGTTTTCTCTTTAGCTAGTTGGGGGGGGTGGGGGTGCGCATGGGTGGCGCTCCCAGGAGAAGTGGGGGACCCATCCAATTCTAATCTAGCACCTATCACTGTATTTTCAAGGCTTTACATTCGCTGTAGATCAGTGAAATCAAAATGAGTGACCCCACTGACTTTTACTGGGGCTTTGAAGCCATACATATGGCTATTCTCAGTCTCTCTCTGGACTATTTTAGGCTCGCCAGGATATTTTCATAACATGCTGCAACATGAATGATGGTCTTTATTCAATCACATTCTGGCATGCGGTTATTTCCCCTTCCAAAAAAAGAAAAATAGCAAGATAAACCAAAGGCTAACAGAAAACTGGAATATATTAGGTGTTACAAAGCCATTACTCACACCCCCTCAATGGTTATTTTGCCCTTTTTGCCTCATTTTGGAGAACGATACAATCTCCCCCAAGAGATCAGATTCCATCTTGCTGATTACCACAGATTCACACATGAAATCACATGCTGAGATATTTTTTTTCCTGTAATGTTCAAGACAGATGTTTCTCACCCCTCCACTGAAAAGAGCAAGTGATTTCATAGCCCTTTTTTAATATTAGCAGCTATGCTAAACATTAGCAGCCATCACCTTTTGCTGCAAGTGGTGGGCTGCTGGGAGAAATCATTATTAAAATCTCAGCAGGCAAATCACACCCACCAGTGGTAACAAGGTGATTATAATCATAGCCTTATCATTACAGTGTGGACTGAAAAAATGAATCGGGATACAAAGTTCAATAAATGGTTCACATGCCATAATGATACAGTATTTGGAAGGCTTTCCTGCAGAGGAGGCTCTCTGAGACTTAAAATCACTGCCCCAGGCACCCTAGCAAACTGGTCTCAGTTAGGAACCAGTTGATTGTTACTGCCATCGAAGTTGAAGGTCACCAGCATTCCCTGTGAGAAACCATACAACCGCCGACTGAGCCGTCCTCCCACACAGAGCCCTCATTTGTTATAAAACCACTCTACGACTGATCCACAAGGCTTGATCCTCAAGGGCAACTGAGAGAAAATCTTCAAAATATAACCCTGGAAACAAAAAATCAATTTTCTATTGTACAGTAGAGATTTCAGAGCTGAAAAAGCATTTAAGTGCCTAACAACTTGCCCACTTTTTCTCCAGATGAAAAATACTGTCTCTCCCTCCAAACCTTGCCTTTTTACAGCCATTGACCTTCACGGCTACAACAACATGAGCAACAGACAAAGAGAGAGATTTAAGATAAAAACAAGAGGAAGAAAACAGCCTAGAGACTGGCTGCACTTTATATAGACAGACAAAACATGTATGAAGAAGAAGTTCTCATTTTGCTGCTCCCCAGGAAAAGAAGTGGTGAGCACTTCACATACTTTGAGCTACACTGAAAAGCAAATACTTGAGACTTGATTTTTTGGTGTGCAGAGCATCCATAACGCCTGATAAAATCATTGTAACCCTGTACCAGTTCTCACCTCAGTCTGGCATTTATTTGAAAAAGAACTAAACTTTATAGATAGGCCTTGAAGGCCAGACATAGTATGAAGGAAACAATGCTTTCAAAAATGGAGGTTTAAATCACCTGAATATGTAGCCTTGTTTTCAAGAAACTGATCCAGCAGCCGTGACTGTAACAGTGTGTGTTGAGGGTCAATGATGCAGCTACTTTATATGTTTTGAAAACCTCCCAGCTGAATCTGCCTGTAGGTGTATTGTTTTAAACTTTTTTCCAAATCACCTGGAAATCTTTGAACAAAACATGCAATGAAGCATTTTATGTACCATGAACAGTCACTGCTTAGACAGCCACAAGGTGTTCCACCCTGTGTTTTAACCTCCTGCCTGCTGTCTGGCCGCAGTCATCTGTAGGAGCAAGTGCCAGATACAGTTGTACACGACTAGCCAAAGTATACCTGGAAATCCCTTGTACTCCACTCAGCAATACTACTCAACCGGACTAAATCGGAGTGTCCCACCATGTCCTCTGGCACGGGTGGAGCAGAGTGTGTGCATGTCTCTTCCAGCAATTATAATTTCAAAGGGAAAGCAGCCAAGTGGAGCAGACAGAGGTTAAAAGCTTTAGATGGAAGCTGTGAACCAGTAGGTTGGATGGATTTGATTCCCTGTTCTTTGCACGTTCCCCTAGTTAGTATGTTTGCCATCTGATGTAAGTCTTTCCACTACATTAGCATCCTATGATCTCCCCTGATCTTTCTCAACATCTTAGATACCATGAAGTGGCCTCATCCCTAACTCTTAAAATGAGAACCTGAAGAATCCACAGAAAACCCTTCACTTTCAGTAGAAGCGATTGGACCATAAAAGAATTCTCTGCGAGCCTCTTACTCTCTTTACAAGAGGATTTATCTCAGGCAACACTGGGGCCGTGGGCAATTTGCGGGCTAAACCTGGAGCCGACAGACCTCAGCCCAGCTCCTCTGATTTAACAAAGACAATCTGTACCTGGACTCAGGAGCCGCTCCTGATTATGTGGAACAGAGCAAATGTTTGCATGCAAAATAATAAATTTTAGGGTGAGCAGAACAAATGATGCAGGGCCATCTTTTACAACCATTCTTGTAATACAACAGAACATTAGCTACAGAAATTAACAGTCATTAGTCAAAATGGAAATGTGACTGTATTAGGCTTTGTTAATCTTTATTAGTCTGTAAACACACCGTATGAAAACAGCACTTGCAGGTACAACCTCAAGCCTTTGATTAAACATAGCGGTGTATTTCAGAAATAAAAACTCAAAGCTGACTCCCACTCTTCCTGTGGGCTTTTTAGCAAATAGAAATATCCTGAAAAGAAGCACTGAACTGTGTTTTCTCACAAAATGAATGAACGTACCGACAGGTGGAGGACCTTGCCCTGAATTTCCTGTGGTTAGATTACTGGCCCAAAAGTTGATGAACACCTTCTGGTGCTGAGATTTTCAAAGCCAAGCAGTGAACCTGCCCCAGCGCTTCGCACTGATGTTAACAAAAAGTCTGTAGCAAAAATGCCTGGATGGCTTTCAGAACTTCAAATAATACCTCTCTGAGCAAAGATTCACTTTTAAAGACTCTGGTTGAGAATTTAAAATACATATTCTTTGCTGTGTAAATTGTCTAAGCTACATTGAAATCAGTGGAAATATGAAAATCCCATTTACTCAAGATCTGTCTGTTAGTACTTAGGGTTACACCATCCTATTCATAATCACCGTAAATCATTAGAGATTCTGACTGCCCACAACTCCTGTTAAAGTCAGATGAAACTTTTGATCTCTGCAGAATACTTTGTGATCGAGTATCAGCTAAACCACCCCTAAACAGCAAAACTGGGAGAACACGGGTGCACAAAATCTGCGTTAGCTAAAACACCAGCCTGTGTTCCCAACCATTTGGCAGGCAGAAGCTTTGGAGCTGTGACATGCAGGGCAGCTGACACGGCTCATCTAGTTGCTTTCCATCACACCCATTCTTCTCATGTTTGCTGATACGAACTTTTTGCCTTTCCCTTCAACACTTCCAGAGAAAAGTACAGCAGCAGCTGCTGCATTCATCACAGCCAGGATCGTCGTGTAACTAATACACCCATTTGATCCTAGAGAACAGGTTCATCTCAGCACCATGCCTCCAAGAAGTGGTGACGGAGTTATGCGCCTTTCAAACCCCTAGAAAATCCTAACTCTGTGCTGGCCACAGACGACTGCTGAATGCCAGCACCATCTCCCTCTACAAAGCACTCTGCGTTTGATGTCCTACCTTCTCCAGGTGTGTCCTCACAGCAAAGGATAATTGTTCCACTGGCAGTGATGCCTGCTGCTTGTAAATAGTATATATGTTATCTGTACCTATGTGTGTATTTATGTACATGCGTGCATGCATATTTATATATGTCTTGCCTACGTAACACCAAGAGCTAGTCCTAACCTATCAAGCACTGTGGCAGAAGCAGGAGGCGGAGGAAAAAAGCATATTGAGTAATGCCAGAAAATTTCTGAAGAGCTCAATACGAAGTATTCCACAGAAGACATGAAAGAACAGGTCAGCCCATCATGCAGACTACCGTTTGACTCACCTATCGCTTCAGTGGACAGCAGCTTCCTTGTTTAGTTAAGCCATTTGATTATTCAAAACACAAAACTCTGCGTCTCTCCACGTATTACTGACAAAGTAGAACAGGAAGAGTATTCCACCATGTCTTAATACATTTTAACAGGATTTCTGCTTTCAGGTAAGAAAAAGTTCAGAAAGGAAATACCCTCAAAAATCCCACATTTTATCAGAACAGACGAGGCCATGAGTCTCTCCACTTTGTCAATCACTAAATCAGAACAATTTCTAAAAAGAGCATTTATGTAAGTTTGAGGGAAGTATACATCCTATGACAAGAGATAATCAAAACCATCCAGGAGTTATAGGAGAAACCTCCAAGCTTCTGCACAGCAAGAATGGTTAAGGGCGCAGAGGATTTTTCTTTCTGGCACTATTACAGACATCACATGGGTCAGGTCCCCTATGTGCAATACAACATGCTTGCTTTGCCGCACCAATTTAAGGAGTGAAGTCTCTGGGGGCAAGCATGCTTCCCACCCACTGTATACACATTATCCAACGCTACGTTCTCCATTTCTGGTGGCACTTCTGGGTACCAGCACCTTGCTCCACCCCAGGCAATGAGGGGGTAAAAGAGCAGCATGGACAGGGTAGGGAAAAGGACAGTGTGTGCATACCAACCCATCTGAGAACAACGGTAGGAGAAATATAATGGGAAATATTTCAGAGGAATATGAAGGAGCAGTGAGGGCA